ACAGAGCTCCAGATAAAGACAGAGCTCCAGATAAATATAAAGATAGAGATAAACATAAAGACAGAGCTCCAGATAAAGACAGAGCTCCAGATAAACACAAAGATAGAGCTATAGATAAAGATAAAGACAGAGATAAACATAAAGATAGAGATAAACATAAAGACAGAGATAAAGATAAAGATAAAGACAGAGCTATAGATAAATATAAAGACAGAGCTATAGATAAAGATAAAGACAGAGCTCCAGATAAATATAAAGATAGAGATAAACATAAAGATGTAGATAAAGATAAAGACAGAGCTATAGATAAATATAAAGATAAAGATAAAGACAGAGCTATAGATAAATATAAAGACAGAGCTCCAGATAAATATAAAGATAAATATAAAGATAGAGCTCCATGGTGCAGAACCCACAGTGACTTGTGGACCGGACTTGAACTCGTGTACCTGTAACCCTGTCCCTTTGCTCCAGGTGAGAATATCTCCCGGATATCCGCTGAGCGCCATCAGCAGCTCGTGAATCATTTGGATTCCGTTGATTTCAAATCAAATAAAAATCATCTGAGTTCATCCACGAACCAAAACAAACTGCCGCCAGAGCTGTCGCAGGAGACATACGTCACCACGCAAAGCACCACGGGATGTAGATGCGCAGGCTGGCGGCGAAGTGTTAGCATTAAACTGCTCTGTGTGGTTTTCACTGTAATTTGAAGATTCACTCAAATAGACTCATTTATTATTATTTCATGGTTCTAAGATATTTTAGCATCGAACGTTCAATGAAGCAAAGAACGGGTTGTAGCGTGTAGCGAGCACGGGGCTTCTGGGAAACGTAGTTCCTCGGTAAAAAGTCAGTGTTTCGTCATCATCGGGTCAAGTCGCTAGCTGCTAACAGCTAACAACACATCGCATCAGAGTCTGGTGAGTTAGTTAATGAATCTTATGAATCCAGACACATGAGTCATATCTGCATGTGAGTCACGTGAAGCCGGACACTTCGAGTCGTTGTTGTTAGTCGGTCTCTGGTTGAGCTAATGTTCACCAGCTAACTGTAACTCACCGTCAAAGTTCAAGTCTCTGTGGAAACGAGTTAGCTCAACTAGTTAACCCAAACACAGCAGGCTAACAACAGGCTAACAACAGGCTAACACCAGGCTACAACAGGCTAACAGCAGGCTAACAACAGGCTAACACATCTGGGTTCTGTAGGTTTCAGGAGCAGCTGCTGGGTTTCAAACACTTGAACAGAATCTTCTCTCCACAGTGACACTGACCCACAGTCAACTGAAGACAGGTGGACAGGAAGGTGATTATTGA